AGCTGTTGGCAATCACTGAGAGTTTAGGCACAGGTAGGGCTGGGGACAGTAAGTCACCAAAAGGATGAGGTTCCCCAGAAGGGCCAGATGAAGAGAAGGTCAGAGAAACACACACATCAGGGGAGTGATTGCAGTGAGGCAGCGATGAAGGCAGAAGGGAGCTCACAGAAGACCCACCTTCAGAGTCACTTGTGAGCCTTCTCAACTTTTGCAAAAGAAAACTTCAGAAGAAGTCTCTCCAGGTGGAAGTTGAGCCCTGCCACATCAGGTTCCTCATGAGGAGAACTTCAGGAAAGGCTAGAAGATTCTGTGAAGGCCACAGAAAATGTCCTAGAGACTCGCTAGCAGAGTTGCAGCAGAACACATGACAGGTCTGGACTGCGACATCAAAGTAGAGGAGAATTCCTTAAGGAAGTTGAAGTCTTTGAACTGGGAGAACAGGCAAGCCCCTCTGGGGCACTGGCAAATATAAGTGCTTGTTCACTGAATCAGCAAACATTTCTTAGATGCTTTCTTAGGTGTTGGCATTGATTGTGCTAGGAGGTGAAGAATCAAAGACAAGTGAGACACAGGCCCTGGTCTCAAAGAACTCATGAATCAGAAACCAGGACATATCGACGAGCAGGTCACTGGATCTTTCTGAGCTGGAGTCAATATCTGGGGAAAAGGTGTTCTTTCAGGAGACTCGGTGAGGTTTTCATTTTCAGTGTTTTGCTTGATGGGAGAAAGGAGCAGTGCCCACCTCAGGTGCACCCAAGAGGGGAGCTCCATTAGGACCCTCAGTGATCCCTGATTCCACATGGACGGTGGAACCAGCACACCAGTGGCCAGACTCTTACCTTCACTTGAGTTTCATGTTGGGCTCCCAGAAATGTGCCAGTAAGGAACCTCAGCCTTCTCTCTAAAGCTGTTACAATCCAACAGAAGCTGAGACATAAAACTGGGGCTTTGAGTATACTTTTCTATGAGAGTGAGATCCTAAAAAGCATCATTTAGGATACACTGAAAGAGATAGTACTTCTGTTTACTTAGGGCAGTCTTAGAAGAATAGAGAGCATTAAAGGCATTCTTTTGGAGATAGAAAGACTAGAACTTAAGGGCTATGCTGAAATAAATTCTTGCCTAGACAAGGACAAAAGAAGAGGCACAGGGTCATGAACGGGAAGTGTGTCTAGAGGCACGCGTCGGCCCACGGGTGGTACTTCAGCACCTGAGATAGAACATTAACACTTACGTGGAATTTGGTGAGAGGCTATACAACATTCACGCAGATTGAGGTGGCATTTCTGTGTAAGACAGTGAAATGGGGGCTCTTCCTCATGAAAATATCAAGGCCTGTGCAGGTGCATGCAACAGGTGTACACTCCAAAACAGGTGTGCAGAATGAGGGCAGGTATCTTTATCAAGCTAGTGCACTTTCTCCCTGAACTCTGTGGCACAGTAATTTCAGGAAGGGAACTAAGAAGACACACCCTCAGTAACAATAAGTGAAAATCTACTTTTCATGATCAACAGCAGTGCCGAGAGGTAGCTTGGGAGGCCTTACTATCCCTCCACCTTGGATATGGACAACTGACATTTTCCTCATCTAGTGTAAAGTGCTAGGCAGACAACCTCACAAGCAAGGCCCCTCCATCCCCCTTCTTACCAGATGGTAACTCCTAGCTTCTGTATATCAAAATGCGTGAGCCACCGCTGCTAAAATGGTGGTTAACATTGTTGTACTTCTTTTCCACACAAAAGGTGATCAAGACTACAAACATACATTCTAAGGAGGTTTATAGAAGTTTATTGCAAGTAGCACCATATGACTTACGGTGGAGGAAACTAGAATTTTTCAGAAATGTACAGAACAAACGGATCAGTCTGGAGAGAGAAAACGCAGTGAAGCCATCAGGGCTGCCAAAAGTGCTTAGCCTCCATCAGCTATCCATTCGAGGATTTAATGGGTGTGTAAGTAAGAATGATCTTGGCTGAAACATGATCTACCTGCACAGAATGAGACAAAAGATAACAATAGCTCTCTGCCTTTGGAGCCTTTGTGAAGGTGTGGCATATCTTTTTCTCCAAGGAACCCCAAGCCTGTCCCAACTGATTTAAAATAAGCACCTTTTTGGAAATATTTAGGTGGGAAAGACGAAGGTCTGACTGCTAAGGGTCTCTAGCTTCAGCTCAGATTTGGCAGTAGTCCAGTGACATCTCTGATCTCCAAATAATCAGTCACTGGGCAAACGGCCCCCTGGTGAGCCCTAGGTGATTAGTTACTGCTTGGCGTGTCTCATCAGTTTAATCTGGGCGAGATAATCTGGACCAGGGATCTGGAAAAGCTGTTCATCTAAATTACTCTAATCCACAGGTAGGTTCTCATTACCCTGCCCCTCTCCCCTTGATCCATCTTCTGTTTCCATAGCAGCTGAAACCCCAGGAAAATGCAAGCATCTGGCCCAGGCTCAGGTAAAGTCCCCTGGGGGAACGAGTCTGCTCGATGGTCACGAAAGAGAGAAAAGGACTTTAGGGCACACGGTAGGCATGCATTTCAGCAAGATGACGGAAGAGGGCTCCAAAGCAGAGGTGAGACAAAAGGAACTGAGGAGAGGAAAGAGAGGGAGAAAATAAAAAGAAAAGAAAACGTAGAAAGAAATGCAATTAAAGTGGAAACATTTAGGCTGTAAGAGAAAGGGAAAGTGAAGAACAAAAAAAGAAAGCATAAAAGGGCAAGACAAAACGAGAAAATGTATGGAGGAGAAGGGAAAAAAGGACCCAGACTAGGACAAAGAGCAGAAGGCTGGGGAAGGCAATGAGAAAAGACATCAAACAGGAGACAGAGGGAGACCTGTGAGAGGCAGGGGCACAGTGCCTCTTGACGGAAGGTGAAGTGGGTGTCCCTGGGATGATGAATGTCTGCAGATGCTAAAGGCACAGACCACCCTGGCATCCGATACTACTGGGACTCTGCAGTAAGCAGTGATGAACGGTGTGCACCATGGACTTAGAAAGTCTGTCCATTTGGATGGCCCCTCCTTCGCATGTGCCCTAGGGCCACAATACATCACTAATCATCACATGCACAGCTGTAGCCTTCTCTCAGAGTTTAGGTCAGTCCACATGTGAAGGTCATTTCAAATCAAGAGATGGGTAGACATGTGAGTAGCTCTCTCTGATCCCCTTGCTCATCAGGAATGGTGGCATGGGGCAGCTGCCGGGAATTTAGGCCAAACACATTGAAAATCTCATGTCTTCTCTGAGAACCTCTTGGAGGGCAAACTGACACTATCTGAGAGAGAGAATTTGGTATTTAGGGCCCATTCATTGCCCTAAACTTATTTTTTGAAATGTCCCAGTGCAGAGCAGACACTGTAATGCTCTGTCACCCTCAGGAATGAAGGACGTCTAGCCAGTGGGTGGACATGCGGCTAGTGGACAGCCCTCAGATGCCACCCTTTATGGGGATTGTCTCATGGGAAGAGAGAGGCCTGGCCCAAGGTCATAGCCCTTCTGAGGACAGCCCAAATTCAGGGACTGACCACTGTGCTGATATAGAAGGCTAGCCCCCTCACCTCAACAGAGGACATGTCTGAAAGGTCATCCTAGCTTCAGAACTCCCCACAGGGTCAGCTGAGATGTTCCACTGGACTGCACCGCAACTCAGCTCCTCCTTCTGCCTACCTGGCTTCCTTCCCTTCCCTTCCCTTCCCTTCCAAAGGGTTGATCCCAAGAGCACCTTGAACAAACTTCTTGCATTCCAGTCACCTTCTCAGGGTCTGCCTTTGGGGGACACACCGTGCAACACCAAGCAAACAGCCACCACTATGGTTCCTTTAGAATCTTTAATCCTGCACTATCAACAATACACATACCTTCATACATACATGCATACATACATATATATAAATACCTACATAAATATATTTCACGTTAACTGGCAATAAGTAATGAATTAAGAATTGTTATTCGTGTCTCTGCTCAAAATCACCTTTTCAAAGGCCTTCCTTGACCAAACCTCTTGTCCTTCTGTCAATGTATGCTGGTCTATTTCCTCATCCTTATCACCACCTGTTATATTGTATATTCATTCCTTTTGTCATTTTTCTCGTAAGAAGGTAAACTCGTGAGAGCAGGAACTTATATGTTTTGGTTTATTGCTTAAAATAAACAATAAACCTAGTTTATTGTTTAATATAAATATAAATAAACAATAACATATTATATATTTTGTATATATAAAATATACAAATAATATAAACAATATCCCCAGTACTTAGAAGAGTGCCTGGATTATTGTAAGCACTCAGTAAATATTTAAGAACAAACAAAATAGTTTAAGGCACCCTGCATAAAATCTAGCTTAATGGTAAATGACATCTTGCCTTGAATTCTAAATGTTTAACGTTCAATCCACGAAAACACAAAACAATACTTACTCTGGTCTACAAAACAGCTAGACATGTAGACAAAGTAAACTTTCCACTTTAGGCACACATTAAGTTCTATTTGTTACCTAGGATTAATCAGAGTAAAACAACAACAAAACCACAAAACAACTAATAGACTAGAGACGAGATGTTTGGCCATGCTGAAGGAGTACGGAGGTGGAAATTTTCCCTTTAGGAATGTGGCCATTCAAAGCTCTCATTCACCATCGTGTGTCAGTGTTTCCTACCTCTTAAAACACCAGCGGGATGAGGCCACCAAAGCTGACCATCACCTCATCAAACCCGAGTAGTAACTTCACTCAGAGCCTCTTGCCACCACTTCATCCAGAAACAATTGGGATCAATTTCCCAGGGATTGGAGAGATCCTCAAATATGATTTCTAAAACTTCATAGGATATACCTATCTTGCAGAGAACACCAAAATTCTCTGCAAAGCCATGAGTATGTTGTTATCAAACTCCTAAAAATGTAGGAGCCTTTAGACTAAATCACCATAACCTCCTAGTCGTGACCAATAATTCTCCCATGTCCTCTCAAGACACGATACACCAAATTGCTTCTCTTACCTTTGGGGGAGATGTGTCTCCAGGTAACCGTAGGCTCTGGTCTGCCTGTTGCTATGCAGGTGAGGCTGATATTGTTCCCTTCATTAATGGAGATATCTGAAGAAATCTCTACAATTTTGGGAGATACTGTGGAGACAAAACAGGTAGAAGGAAAATTAAAATCCTGCTGAAATATTTTTTTGTTGTTTTAAAATGGTAGGTGGCAGAATAGCCAGAGACTGAAATTCATAGGAATTACAGAAGTAAATCATGAGAAATTAGAGGAATTACCTTAAACATGAAAGAAATATCTTCCCTTGAATTTAGCTTCTATTCCCTCCTATTTAATCACAAAGTCAGGGAGTCGGAATGGGAATGGATTCCACTGCAAAACTGCATAACTATTCTCCCAGCCTCCACCCTCCTCCTGTCTCCTCTCTCATCCCCACCCGTGTCCGACACATATCCACGAGGCATTCTCCACACTGCATTCAGAGTCGTCTTTATACAATGCAGTTGTGATCATATCACATCTCTGCCTAAACACCTCCAATTGCTCCTTATTGCCTACCTGATAATATCCAAGCTCCTATCCTAGCACCCCAGGCCGTTCAGAATCACCCGTCAACCTATGCTGCCACTGTCATTCCCAGTGACTGCACCTCTACTTACTCCGCTTTCCATCCGCAACACATCACGTCCTTCCTAGTCATCATGTGCTTGGGATCTCTACTGTTCTTCACGTCCTTCTTGGAAAACTATCAGTCATCCTTTAAGGTTCAAATCAAATGCCACTTTGTTGCAGCTTTTCCTACCCCTACTCCTCTCGCCCTCCTGCATAGCTCAAAATGACTGCTCCTCCTCATCTGTGTTCCCAGAGTACATAACACACGACTGATGAACCGTCAAAAGGAACATCATTTAGCCTTAACACACTTGGCGTCTTTCTCTTTCTATACTCTAAATTAATCCCCACAAAACGGGGAGGGGTTCATTCTAATTGGTAAATTTGGGAGCAGGGCTCCCTCTGCACTTCCTTCGTCCTTTGTTTTGGAACCAGGCATCCCCTAGGAAGCCTACATTCTGCTGTGTTCCTCCTCGTGCACGTTTCACAGGGGCCGCATCCCATGGTGACGGGTATATCCAGCAACACAATTGCATTTGCTTGCGTGCACCCGTCTCGATCTGGGGTGCAGCATTAGAAGCTCGTTGCTGCACATCTACACCTAATCGTCCAGTATCATCTTTACCACCAGCGAGTGTGATATTTGGTTCGTGTGTGACTATTCATTTGTCTTGTCTGCCAATTGGCTTATAAAGTAAGGGTGCTATTTTGGGGGCCCCCAAACTCCAATTCTTGGCATTTCTCTTACTATGTTACAGTTATTTGCTTGGTATCTCTCACCCACTCGACCACAAGCTTTTTGATGGCCTGAGCCATGGCTTACTTATATTTATACCCATAGTAAAAGAACAATAAATATTTATATGATGGATTTATAATGGTTGTTCAAGGGAACCACTTTTCCAACCTGCTAAATGTTTGTAAAACCTCAGAATTGCATCAACACATGTCATTTCAATTTTACTGACACTGGTTTTGTCACATTAGTTCTTTGCAAATGAAGTGGCCCCTCCATCAGGCTCTCTCAGTGGTCTTCCTGTTCGGTTCTTTCCTTGAAAAAGTACTCCTCTGAGCCACCAGTGTGCAGTTTCAGGACACAGCATCCATCCAGTCCACAGTGCCATCTGGCCTGCTGGAGGTCCCAGGGGAGCTGAACATTGACCTTGTTCCTTGTTCCAGAGTACAACCCTCACATGAAAATCAGATTGCTTGGAAATTTCAATGCTGGGTTTTCTTCTACCAGAGCCATTCATCACTCCCTCCTGATTGTGTTGGACTTTCTCCACTGCAAAAAGAGAGTATCATGCTGATACCTTCTCTTAGTCTTTGTTCTTGTACCTCTTTCTCCTTAAAATTGTCTTCCCCTCCTTCCTCATGCTCCACCTGCCCGGGAACACTCATTCATATGCATGCATTGCACTTTTGCTTCCTTATCCCCATGCCCTTGCTGCTGATCTTGGTCACTTAGGCTCTTCTCTCCAACCACCTACACCCAAGGAATTGTTCAAGGCCTGGTTGAGTTACCACCTCTTCCATATGGTCTCCCAGGTGGTCTCTAAGAGGATGTGGCCTCTCCTTCTTGGAGATCATATAGCCTCCTGTAAGTCATTTAAGATGAACTCTCTTACGTTACATTTGTCTCATCTTTTGTCTATGCTATAAATTATCTCAGTATAAGATGTTGAGCATGAATCTTACCAACTTTTTAAAAATTTTCTGCTGTCCTGAACAGGATGTCTTCCACAGAGTAAGCACGAATTAACCATTTTTAGATTTAAGTCCACAGCAAGCTTCAGATGGAAAGGCAGTGTGTGTGTGTGTGTGTGCACTTGCACACACACTTGTCTGCATTCTCACAGGTATTTGGTAGGACAGAAGCAATGAAGATTCAATGTGGTGAGGGTTGAGGAGTGACTATTGGTCCTACTATCTAGGACTTCCAAGACACAAGATTGCAATTTATGGCTGTATCATTTTAAAAGCTGATTGAATCTTCCAGGACAGAAAGGTAATTGCTAAGTTATGACTGAACACTTGATTTGCTGACTGTCTGAAGGACCCAAATTTCTAAACTCTCTTAGTTCTAGAATCACTTAAACTTGATGTATTTTATTCATGGAGATTTCACTGGAACATTCACTTCATGAACCTCCACTTCCCCAGCCCATACATTTGCCTGGCCCCCACTGCCGCCCATCCTTGGCACTCACACAGCCTTGCCCGCTTCCTGGAGGACAAGCTGCCTGCAGAATGACTGTGCTGGCCTTGCAGACATTGCTTCAACTGTGCAGGTAAGTAATTTATTGATCTGTAAAGCACTCTGAGATGCTCTGCAAGGGATTATGTCACGCCAATGCCATGCAATAAAATAAAAAATGATGGACTTCGTGAACACAGGGTGATTTAGAGTTTGTAGTTGGAAGTGTGCTTAAAGTACATTTTAAGTGGAAATCAGGCTGGGTAATGAATTACTCTTGCTTTGGAAGGGCTTACTGGAAGTTCATTTTCCTGGCTTTTTACATGATAGCTAATCTGCTAATCATACACTAGAGAACAACAGATCGTCCTCAAGTCGAAGAGAAGGAAGTTTGGGCCACAGCTGTCAGCACAGTAAGTATATTAAATGAGACAATCACACCTCATGCTTAGAAGAATCATCTAGAATTGTCTCCCTCAACTAACAACTGGAACCTGCCTAACTCATGATGTGGAAGTTGGAGAAATGCTTGCTGTCCTTTCAATCCTGCCTAAGAGTGTAGCTCGAAGGTGGCAAACTGCTCCTGGATGAATTTGAAAGGCAGACCATTCATGGCATAGAGCTGAGGTGGTTTGACCAGAGATGCAATCCGAATTATCAGAACTAAATTGGCATAGTGCCTAAGATGCCAGGGGATTAGAAATATCATATTCTAGGTAGCAACTTCTAGCACACTGCCAGAATTTAAAATTAAATTGAATTGATAAGGATGCACTGTGATCTTAACTAATCCATGTTCATAAGGAAGTTGTGGCCAACTGAGATAGTCACTTATATTTTTATATCGTTTCCACGGATACCTTCCACATCATTCCTCTTCTCACCATGCAGGCTGTTAGAAATAGGATTTCTTTGCTTTCACTCATTAATTCACTCATTTATTCATTCATTTATGAATATTCATTGATCACTTCCATATAACCAGCATTGGGCTTAGCACTAAGAATATAACAGTAAAATGACACAGTCCTTGTCCTCAAGGAGTTCACAGTCTAGAGATATAAAATAAGAAGTATATTCCTTTAATGAATTGTGACATAGAAGGATACATAAGGTGTTGAGGAGATACAGAAGATAAAACACCTAAGCCAGATGGAGATGAACGTCATGCAAGGTTTCTTGGATATGGGACACCTAAGTTAAGCCCAAGAACTTAAGTAAATTTAATTCGTTCTGAGGAGGAGAAGAGGAAAGACATTCTAGGCAATGGAGACAACACAAGAAAAATACTCTTATTAAGACTTTTTGTTGCCAGGCATAATCATTCATGGAAGAATAGCTGCTAAAGGAGGCTGGGACAAAAGTCATTCAACAAAAACTTACTGAACACCTACTGTGCATACAACTGTGGTTGGGTATATGAATGACGTGCAGAAATACACAAATTTTGTTTAGCCCTCTATGAACTTACAATCTGTTTGGTGAAATAGTGCATACCTACATCCCAGAGAGTTGACTAATAAAGCAAAATTTGTCACAACATTGCACGTGCTTGAATGTTAAATGAATGGTACAAATTTGGAGTTCTGGTGAGTTAGTAAGAGAGAGGATCGTGGCGAGTAGGAGAGTCAGAGTGACTTCACTTCAGCTATAGAGTCTATTTGGGATATCAACAAATGAGAAACAGTCACATAGGCAGAAAAAGTCACATAGACGGAAACTGCTTCAAGGGGCACAATATATGGACATCAACAGGAAGACAGAAACCCACGAGGTGTGTGAAGATACAAAGTCTATTTACTATAAGAGGCAACAGAGAGTGGTGGTTGAGATCCTGGCTCTCCTATAGCCAAAATGGGTAAGCCTGGCCAAGTCACTTCACCTCTCTGTGCCTCACTTCCTCATCTCTGCATTAAAGCTAGTAATTGCATGTAGCTCACAGGGTTCCTTTGAGGATTTAAGGGGTAAGTTTATAAAATGCACTTAAAGAAGCTCATAGAAACGTGAAGTACTCAATAAGTGAGTTTTAATACTGTGTGTGCTTGGCAAATACATATGTGAGTGTCAACACAGAGTGAACCCTAGATAAATTTTAACTGACTCAAGGAAGAATGGGATACAAAAATCAATGAGGTAAGCTAGAACCAGACTACGGAACAGCCCCAGTAGCTAGGTCTTGAATTTTAACTCTATCTTATAGGCAATGGCAAGCATTTGAATTTTTTTAAAAAAAGGAATGCCATAATTTTTTTTAAAATGTACTTTAAGCAAAATAATCTGGTAACAAAGGGAGTGGAATAGATAGAAACTGGAGTTAGAGAAATC